CCAAATGCAGGTGGTGATGAGAAAGTCACACAATGAACCAAAGCCTATCACAAGCAGCTTTTAAATAATAAAATATATAGAAGGTGCACAGTGTCATTCACACAAACACCAAACACCAAACACCATCATGGTAACACACACGAAACTGAAATAATGCAATAAACATTAATTTAACAACATTAGGTGTAACACACAACCCTAATATACAAAACTGATAAGAAAAAACTAAGAAGAAACATAGTTATTTCAACAAAAAAACATCAAATTTGAAATGTAACGCAGGGAATTCTGGGAATGTCAATTTACGGTTATTCACTGTAAATTATACGGTATTTTTCACTTCCAAAAACGGTATACTACCGTAAAATTAATGTCCAATACATGTAATGTCCAATACAGTTTTTCACCGTATATAGTAGGGGAATTTACCGTTAACCATTTAACAGGATTTTACTGTAGCATTTTTACAGTCTTTTACCATTAAATTCAAATAATGCAATAAACATTCATTTAACAACATTAGGTGTAACACACAACCCTAATATACAATACTGATAAGAAAAAACTAAGAAGAAACCGTTATTTCAACAAAAAAACATCAAATTTGAATGTAATGCAGGGAATTCTGGGAATGTCAATTTGCGGTTATTCACTGTAAATTATACAGTCTTTTTCACTTCCAAAAACGGTATACTACCGTAAAATTAATGTCCAATACATGTAATGTCCAATACAGTTTTTCACTGTATATAGTAGGGGAATTTACCGTTAACCATTTAACAGGATTTTACTGTAGCATTTTTACAGTCTTTTACCGTTAAATTCACGGTCATTTTTTACAGTGTATGTTCAACTGTGTCTAAGTGAGGAACCGTCTGTGTCTCATAACACTGCACACACAATAACATCAGAGCACACACTGACCTCTGCTCAGCAGCTGATAAGTGCTTGTTCTGCGAGCGACTGAAAACACACCGGCTGCTGCAAACCGATAAAATCACTCTTGTTTTCAGAAGCTCGACGGAGAGGACAGCAAACAGCATCACGTCACTGAGAGTTTGACTGAAACATCTGAACCCGCGTCAGTCGGTCAGACAAGTAAGATCACAAAAACAGCATTTGTTCACATCTCACATCACATTCACATCTGCAGTCCACACAGATCATTTACTGAATCCAACCATGAGCTCATTAACATATGACTGACCAATTTCATGAGGACTTCACATTAGGGCTGTGCGATTAATCGAAATCGAATATTCATATTATTATTATTAATGTATTATGAAAAACAATGTAATAATTTAAATATAATTTTTTTTATTAAAATAACACTTTATATTTTATTTTACAAATAACATTTTGTGAAATATTCCATTTATTTCATAGTACAGCAGTAAGTTTTAATAATAACAACAACAACGATTATTATTATTAATGTTATTATTATTAATTATTATTATTAATGTACTATGAAATAAAACATTAAATATATATTTACATTTTTTATTTTTATTCAATAACACTATATGAACATAAAACATTACATAAAACATTTTATGAAATTCAATTTTAGAGTATTCAATTCATAGACTAGTCTTTTTTATTAATAATAATAATAATTTATTATTATTAATGTACTATGAAATAAAAATGAAATACTAATTTCAATATTTCATATTATATTTATTTTAATTAAAAATAAATATAATATGAAAAAATATTAAAACAACACTTTATATTTTTATTCTATTTACTTTATTAAACAAATAATGTTTTATGAAATATTCCATTTACTTTACAGTACAGTAGTAATATTGAATAATAATAATAATAATAAGTATTATTAAATATTAGAATATTAATTTATTTGTTTACAGTACAATAGTAAAATTTGTCTAATCTGTACAATTAGCATTATTATAATAATACCAATAGCTAATTTTTTTTTTAAGTATAATCCGTCTATGATGTAAACGTGCAGTGGTTACAGGACGTCTCTCACAGCACGAACTCGTAAAGGTCTGTTTTGTCGGTCTCTGGACTTCCATTAGCTGGATCCGGTGCACTCAGACACCGGCTTGCCAATTCTTCTCAATTTTCCTGAAGGATCTGGTGTATCAAACCCATTTGTCTGAGTGCACTGAGTCACAGAGAGACACTTTCAATTCAGCCAATGTGTGCTGATAGACTGCAGATGAGCTACACAACTCTCACAAACAGAGCCACACGTAATCTCATAGCCCGGGAAAATGTGAAAACTGGACCAAAACACACCTGACAGCACAGGCCAAACACATCTGTCTGATGCATGTACAGACGACAACAATTAATAACTGGTGGCGATGCAATGGCTAAAACATCTGTCTCAGGTAGTGCGGTGATCAATTTGAATATACATCTGGGTTTTACTGTGCAAACTTTCTATAACAGCACAATGTCAACAAGCTGAACAAAGCATCCACAGAAAAAAAAAAAACGTGAAGCTCACTAATCGACAACTAGTTAACAATTGTAACCCATCCCTAATGTACGTGACTACAGACTGATAGAGTAACATGAATATTATGATATTGTGAGTGTCTGTGTTTGTGCATGAAAGACAAGACAGAGAGAAACTAAGTGCAAAGTTTCTGTCTAATTCATAAATATTATAATTTTTAATGTCATTCCTGAATTTAAATAAAGAATCATGATTAATGATCATCAACCGTGAGAACCGTCATTAACATATGACTGCCCAATTTCGTAAGGGAAAGAATCCATGACAGAAATATGACTATTTTATTACTATTTCAGTTTAGCACTTAATTGGATATATATAAAAATATAATGCCAATATATTGCAGTACAAAATAAACTAATATAGCCTAATGAAGCCTATTTTTAGCCACATTTGGTGCTTGATCAGTGCATGTATTCATGTGTCATTAAGCAAGCAAACGTCTTTAGTGAATTATTTGTATATAATTAACCAGGATGTGGTGTGTTTGTGTGGCATCTGTGCAAACGGATGTGTTTTTGGATGAAGGCAGAGGTCAGTGACCTTTCCACAGATCTTAGCGTTGGGTGTCCGTTAGCCATCGGACCTGACCTCCGTGTGTGTGTGTGTGTGTAACTCATCACTCTTGTTTTTCCTCCTTAAAGAGTCATCACCATCAGACTGCATGCAGGAGAAATCCTTCTTCTGTCGCATTAGGTGAGTGTTTGTGTGTGTGTGTGTGTGTGTGTGTGTATGTGTGTATGTGTGTGTGTGTGTGTGTGTGTCTGATGTAGACCGACTCGCAGGCGTCTCATCGCAGTGGAGCAAGGTAGATTATCTCAACGCAGATTACACACCCAAAACACAGCCAAAATAAGACCTCTCTCACCTTCTGGACGACTGTAGCCGCTTTAGTGTGTACAAACAGAGCAACAAGAGGATGTTTACTCTGGTAAAACACAACAGTTTACCTTCACGTTCAATCCAAGGGACATTTCCACCAGCCTTGACTTGATAAAGCCTCACAGCCTTTTGATAAAGCCTTTTTATTCAAAAGGTACACCTTTGTACCTTAAGGGTCTATATTGGTGTTTTAAAGGTATATATCAGTACCTAAATTGTACATATTTATACCTAAAAAGCACAAAAATTTACTTTTTGAGAAGGTACTGCCCCAGTGACAGTTTTTGTACCTTTTTTACTGAGTGTGCAGTGTGTGTAAAGACTGAAAGTAGAGTTAACAAACGATCGAACACACACGTGCTACAACACTGCTCAGTGTCAATGTGTCTTTTGTCCACATCTACAGCTGAATAGGACAGACGACCCCCTCGCTACACACTCTCCGGGGCCCGTCAAGGCCCATAAAATCCCTCCTCAGATTCACGTCTGGTCTTCCTGTTTCTGGACAGCGAGTGCACAAACACACCAGAGATGTGATCAGAGCTTGCAATGGCTTACATCACTCGCTTCTCCGAGCAAAAGCACACTTACCAAGAATGACGGCTGAGTTTGTTTTTAATTATGCATAAACTGCAATAGAACAAATAGAACATTATGCAACTCTGTACAATCACTGGTGACTAAAGTCCACTCACAGTAAAGTGGAATTTAAAGGCTGGTCAGTGACTCAACTAGAGAAAAGCAGGAAGTTTTTTGGTTCTTGCTGTTTCTGCACAGATGTCCAGGCGTGAAACAGCAGCATCTTCACACACACACACACACACATGTTGGTTTTTATGGTTTATGGGGACTCTGCATAGGCGTAATGGTTTTTATACTGTACAAACCGTATTTTCTATCACCCTACACCAACCCTACACCTAAACTAACCCTTCACAGGAAACTTTCTGCATTTTTAGATTTTCAAAAAAACTCATTCTGTATGATTTATAAGCCTTTTGAATTACGGGGACACCAAAAGTGTCCTCATAAATCACCTTCATGTTGTAATATCTATGTCATACCCATGTCATTATACAAATGTGTGTCCTCAGAAACCACATAAACATGCACACACACACACCTGCTTTTACTTTATACCCCCAAAAACACATTTATGACTTTAAAAGTTTGCTTAAAGTGTTTTCACTTTAAGAAAACTGAGGTAACAATTTACACTGTGCGTGTTACTATAACTAAGTAGTGACGAATGCAACAACACAAAATAAACACATCAAGTATTTATTTGTGTAAATAAAAGCAGGATATTCAAATTAGGACTAACGTAATGTGCAAGCGCAAACATTTAACGAATGCAGTAAAACATGCGGGATTTTATGAATGGAATAAACGCGTATCAGTGCAGCCATGTGTGTAAAATCGCCAGAACCGAGCAGAGTGAGTGAATCGCCTGAATCATCCAAACATCAGCTAATGATCCGAATCTTCCGAATTAATGATCCGAATCACGGCGCATCGCGATCCCGCTCGAATCCCGCAGGATGGAGGTGATGAACTCTTTCATTATCCAGAACCCAGAACAAAACCATCCCGAAGCAGCTGAAAAGGCTCTTACCGGTTAAATCCCGCCGGAGGAGGACTGATATTATCCGCTGCGCTGCTGAAGTATGGTGTGCTCTCTCATGATCTCTCAGCTCCAGTGTCACATTACATCCAGCTCTTTCTGTTTCCACAGACACAGCGCGGGCGGCTGGAAAACACGGCATGGATTCAAACGATCCCGGATTCGGGCGGAAAACCAATCCAAATACTTCTGGGGCGTCGAGTGTACACTGACCCAAATTGTGCAAGTGTAAGCAGCAAAAAGCTGTCAGTTTAACCACAGTAACCTACATAGACGATTAAAAATAGAGTAGTTTTCAGATGTTCCATCTTCATCATTAATTTATATACTTATATATATATATACACATACACACACACATACACATATACACACACACACACATATATATATATATATATATATATATATATATATATATATATATATATATATATATATATATATATATATATATATATATATATATATATATATATATATATATATATATATATATATATATATATATATATATATATATATATATATATATATATATATATATATATATATATATATATATATATATATATATATATATATATATATATATATATATATATATATATATATATATATATATATATATATATATATATATATATATATATATATATATATATATATATATATATATATATATATATATATATATATATATATATGCATAATGCAAATAAATAAAAGTAATAATATATATTTACTTATATATGTAATATCACATATTCTAACATGGATATATAACATAATAAATTATGTACATCAGTAATATATCATTAATATTAATTTATCTATATATACTAATAAATAACATATAATGTAAATAAATAATATATATTTATATTATATAACCTACATACTCATCTAAAACCTTTCACATGTTGCATCCTCTACATTAATTGAATAAATGATTTTAAAATAGCCATCTAAATATAAATCTGTTTAATGTGTGTGTGTGTGTGTCTGTGATAGAGAGAGAGAGAGAGAGAGAGATTTATTAATTTAACATTACATTTCATCTGTTATCAAATGTATATGGCTAAGGTTATTTGTATGTCTTCTGTAATGCTTTACAGGCTGAAGTGGGTAAGTGATCGCTCGTCCCATGTGCTCTGGTCTCCGGGTTTTGTGGTTCCCCGGTGTAAAGCTCAGAGTAACCACACACACACACACACACACACACACACACATATATATATAAACATCTCAAAGCATTTAAATGAATATAAAATGTAAATTAATATATATGTATCTATATAATATATATATATATATAACAATATAACATTCTAATAAAAATGTAAACACATAACATATTTTCTACGATGAAACGACACATTCATATATATATATATACACACACACACACACACACACACACACACAGAGAGAGAGAGAGTCCCTATCATATCTTGGCAGGTTTATATACTTGCAGTGTACCTGGAATGAAGACTTCAGTTCAGCTAGTCAGAAGTCAAAGGCTTCTTTCCATTGTGCTCCTTGTCAATATAATAAATGGCACCTGGTACTCGGACACTGCAGCTTCTGGCAATTAAAAACATTATAACAATAAATTTTTTTTAAGTATGCTGTATATAGACTTACACATATATACATGTTATATTTTGTATATGTATAAAAAATGTAATTACATCACACACATATGTATATAACATTTTAAAATAACACACACACACACACACACACACTGTCAAGTTCCTAAAAGGATAAAAAGGAACCATAAAAGTAGCAAAAAATAATTCCATATGTCTCATGCGATCAGTGTGTGTAATCCATTTAGATATGTACAAATATATGCAGTTAATATTTATATGAACATAGATTTTATAAATTTAGCATTATTCTGTTTGGTTTAGGCATGCATGTAGCCACTACGTGCATGTGTGTGTGTGTGTGTGTATGAAAGACAGGACTGAACAATAAGGGTCATGAGTTGTGTTAAAGGTCACCATCTGCATTGATTTCTGCCTGTCTCCACTTATCTGCACATGCAGCCTTTCTGCTATCTTCACATATGCAAATATACACAAGCCTGTGGACCTGCAGACACACACGCCGAATGACTTCCTCCACCCGTCTGAAGACGTGACATGCGTTCAAGCCGTTCACATCACTGCTGTTTGGGTTTATGCATGAGGTTTTACACATGCAAACTGGGCTGAACAGGTTCATGTGAGTAATTAAAGGGATAGTTCACCCAACTATGTTGTTTATCTGCTTACCCCCGGGGCATCCAAGATGTAGGTGACTTTGTTTCTTCAGTAGAACACAAACAGAGATTTTTAACTCCAGCCGTTGCAGTCTATCAGTCGTATAATGCATGGCAATGGTAACAAAATCTATGAGAGTAAAAAAAACATGCACAGACAAATCCAAATTAAACCCTGCGGCTCGTGACGA